TATGACAGAAAAAATGTCTGAGTGTTAAAGGTCGTTTACTAAACACTTACTTGATAAGTACTTACCGGATAAATTTTCTCATCGGATAAACATGACAAGGGTCAAAAATCTTATCGGGTAAGAATGATGGAGTCTTACCCGATAAGTGAAGATTACAACACTTACCCGATAAATTGTTGCATCCAATACGTTTTGATTTACTAAAATCTTACGCATCAAAATAAATTATAGTGTTAACTCCTATAGGTAAACACTTATATGGTAAACATTTGGGTAAACAACCCTTTATAATTTAATTATTTTATAGGCTTACATTTATAGAACTAAACACTTGTATGCCATATCTAAATGTACTGTAATAAATTGATATGACGCTTTTAGACGTCTTATAAAACTTTTCAAGACACTCTTGAAACAAAATGTACTATTAGCCATTTTATATGACACCATTCGAAAAAATGTCTTATAAAAAGATGTGTTTATAAGACATTTCTTAAATTTGTCATATAGAAAAAGGCTAATAAGACATTTTGTTTCAAAACAGTTCTAAAAAGCTTGTTAAAATGCTAAAAGACGTCTTATAAACCTATTACAATACTTTTAGATAGAACACAAAATGTTTGGTTTATGAACTTAAGTCCAATAAAGCAGTCTGTTGTGACACTTAAATACGTTTGTTGTCCTATAAACTCAATTTTGTTGTAGTGAAACAATACCACAATCGATAAAACGAATTTGAAAATCGATTCCATAAAATAGAAATCCACCGAAAGTTGGTTATATTTTTCATGCAATTTATACATTTATAAACAAACCAATATTCCGACTTCAACGGTGACTTAGATTCGCGAGATAGATTGAGTTTAACGTACTTGGAACAATTGGTTTTGGAGGTGATCTGAGGAATTTTGATGTCGATCATGCAACTTTCCGGAAGGGTCGAGATGTCGGCACCGGTAACCGAAGAATCATCTTCATCAACAACTTTATCCTTTATGCAACTACACAACTTTCGTGCGTCCATATCCGACGTTATGTGACGGGCTATCATTCCTAGGTGGAGACAACATAATACCGGTGGCGGTTCGCAGTGATCGCGGTGGCACGGTGGGTCTTCACAACTGCGGCGGCAATGTTTCAAGTATATAAGACAAGGCAACAACTGAGCCCTTATCCACGTACATGAATGACGACGATCGACACCTTCGACGTGCGTATTCGATCTCGCAAGTACCAATATCATCACTAAAGAACATGCTATTTTGACTACCCTCTTCATGTTTTATGTTCCAAATCAAAAATTCAAGTTTCAAATCTAAGATACACACACATACATATATACACACACATACATATATACACATACATACATATATATATACATACATATATATACATACATATATATACATATATATATATATATGTTTAGTGTTTTCAAGAAGAAATCCAACCAAATTGATGCATGAATCATATATGACTATTCATGAAAGTATCATGAATACATCTACGTGTGGAAAAGTGGAAGAATCAATAGGATTGGAGAAGTGTCTTCGTTGATATTTGATTTAACAAGAAGGGTACTCGCGTAATTCAGTGATATATATCTTGATTTTAATATTTCGTTTTATTCCGTTTTTGTAGATGTTATAATATGATTTTTATGTGGTTTTGAATAAAATATAAATGTGAAGATATCATAAAATTTCGAAAATAAATATATTAACATTAGTATCAAATTAACTATTTAAAAGTTCTTGTTTTTTTTTTTGTAATTTCTTTAATTCAATTTTTTATTATAATTTAATTTAGATATAATAAGGAAGTAATTTATTGTTGACTTAATAATATAATTTTTTATAAAGATGATAATTAAGTATTTTGTTAGAACTCAATGATGATCCTAATTATATTATATATTTTTTTATATTTAAAATGAAATGCTTATATTGTATTTGACTATATTTATCTGCAGTTAGTTACACAAATTCAAACATGAAGCTTTAATAAGTTAATCTACGCACACTTTATTTGTAATCTTGAATTTTAAGTAATATGCATCAATAAACAGTACTTCATGCATAAAAAATAGTTGTTAAGAGTCCTTGTCAGATGCTTTATAATACAGTATAAATATGTTTATAAAAATTATCTGGGTACTAGTTAAAATATAAAATATATGCCAATAATGTTCAATATTCACAGTTTCTTATAAAATAATAAACAAGATCAATAAATCTTGTATGAAATAGATACTAAATAATGTAAGATGTATACAGATTTTACCTCTACTTTGTAATTTTGTAAAAAAAAAAGGAAGAGTTATAAAAAAATATAAAATAAAGTTTGAAATAGTTAAAAACAACTTGAAACCACTTTGAAAAAGCCATAAAGGATTGGGAAAGTACAACATGCCATGTTTTAAATTACCTAAGATATGGTGGTAAAGTTAATGTGACATTTGTTTTTTTAGAGCGGTAAAGTATCAAGTCTTATTTTATTTCTGATTAATAAGAGGGGTGTTGAATTCTGAAATCTGAATCAATAAGATTGTTTGTTTTTGTAAACTGATAAATGTTTGAATTTGTTTAATTTTATCTATTAGAAAATTATAGTTTTAAATTTATAGATAAATTTATACAATGTTACATATTTATTCATTATCATTACGAAATTTACATGTAAATTATATAATTAACATTCATTTAAAGAAAAATATGCCATTAAAATACATCAATTGAGACAGATGGTGATCAATCTGGTAAGAATCGGTTGAGGAAAATGATCGATTAAAGTTCAATCGATTGAGAAACGATATTACTAAGAGTTTGAAGAACAATAAGAGACAAATAAGAGGTTGATTTACCTCTAATCAGATAAGAGGTGAATAAACATAAGTGCCTCTAAAAAATTGAGAGAAAAAAAAAACAGTATGAACGGTTATATCTCTTAATGAATCAGACATAAAAGACTACTAAGAACTTTTTTTTTGAAAAACAAATAAGGCCTAAGCCTTCCATGTCATGGTGAGGACATGTCATTATTCCAATACATGATATAACACGAGTAGGTAATAGGGATGGTGATTTGTCCCGATCCGGCGGGGAACCCGGTTTACCCGACCCGAACGGGGACGGGGATTCCCCGCTAAAACGGGTCCCGGGGCCAGGGCCGGGGATCCCCGGTAGACTCAAACCGGAGATGGGGATGGGGCCGGGGCCGGGGAATGTTACTCAAAACGGGGCCGGGGTCGGGGCCGGGGATCCCCGGTATAATCAAACTAAAGCATACTTTTTACCGGTTTTGACCGGGGATTGACTGGGGTTTACCGGGTTTTGACCGGGGATTGCTAGAATTTGACCGGGGACGAGATGATAATCCCCGTACCCGCCGGGGCCGGGGGACGGTATTACAAACCGGGGCCGGGGATTACAAAACCCGCCCCATCCCCGCCCCGTTGCCATGCCTAGTAGGTAATCATAGTGCACAACAATAATGAAATTTAAAGTACGAAAAAAATATTAGAAATATATAAAAGAGCATGAAACCCTTAAACGAGCTTAAGAAAGAATGCAGTAAAGCAAAAGAGAAAGTAATGGGTCATTTACTAAACGCTTACCCGGATAAGTGCTAACCAAGTTACATTACTTTACCGGATGAATATGGTAATGACAAAAAATCTTATTTGATAAGATCGAGGCAAGGACCGAGAGTCTTATCCGGTAAGTGAGGATGACGACTCTTACCATGGTTAACACTTACCAGGTAAATTATTGATCCAATGCCGTTTTGGTGGACTAAAATCTTATCGGATAAGAAAATGACAGTATTGAATTTTACCGATAAATGCTTACCAGGTAAGTGTTTGGTAAACGACCCCTAAATGATTCAAAGTCGTGCATCACACAGAAGCCCCACTCCGACCATAGAGCTTAAATACATAGATGTCAACTATTTGTCCTTCCATTCACAGATGAAAAACATCGTGTTTTTTTTGTCCAATTGCATATTCAAACAAGATGATTTATAAATCATATGGTTACATCTTTACAATTATATCAGCTACTTTATGTTTGTACAGTTTCAATTCAATAAACTAATATAAAAGATAGATATCAACAAAAACACAAAAATAACAGTTTACTATTCAATCAACAACAAGAGGGATGGATGCCTCCCATTGGTTGGATTAGTTCATTTTTCCGTAGATTATAACTTACGCGGTTTGATTTTACGAATACGAAATGAGAATTATCATCCCATTTAATCCAATCAAGATGTCCTATAGCTTAGGCATGGCAACGGGGCGGGGATGAGGCGAGTTTTGTAATCCCCGGTCCCGGTTTTTAGTAATAGCCTCGTCCCCATCCTCAGTCCCTAACGGGTACGGAGATTAACATCCCGGCTCCAGTCAAACTCCATGAATAATATCCGTTAGTTTGAGTCTACAGGAGATCCCTGGCCCCAACCCTGGTTTGAGTTACATCCCCCGACCCTGGCCCTGTCCCCGGTTTAAGTCTACCGGAGATCCCCAGCCCCGGGACCTGTTTTAGCAGGGAATCCTCATTGGATCGGATTAGCCGGGTTCTCCACCGAGTTGGGACAAATCACTATCCTTACTATAGCTCTTGGAAGCTATAAGATGATGCTTAAATCGTAAAAGTAAATGTTAATTATCTAAAGAAAATGACATATTTTATAAGATTATTCGAATATAAAAATTTAATCAATGAAATATATTTATTTGAATATGTAATTAAAAATTAAAAAGTATTATATCATGATTTTTTTAAATCTATGTTGCCTATTTATCGAAAGATAAGGGTTAAATTGGAAATTCTTTAATCTCAAGGGTAAATTTTGTATATGCTTCAATTATAAGGGACTCGATATAAAATAAGCGAGAACTTATTCGGGTCAACCGTGAAGACCCGATTGGAAACCAAATTAGGGCTATATATCTCTGTATCACAACCGTTATCCAGTTTCCTTTCACTCACATTCGATCAAAGCGTTATTCAGTCGGAATTGGATCGATCAAAGCGTTTTTCAGTCGGAATTGGATCGATTGTGATGGAGCAATCTCAGTCGAAAATCTATCAGGTTATCGCGAAACTTTTGGATGGTAAATCAAGAACCTTGAATTTCGAAACCCCAATAATTTCAGTTTCATCCATCAAAGCTCAAATCCAAAAGCTTACGTCGATCTCGGTACAGCAACAGCTCCTTTTATGCGACGGCAAAACACTTTTCGACGATGGTGTATTGTACCATGGGAATTCTTCACCATCAACCGTCCACCTCCTGCTCCGTCTCCGGGGAGGGAAGGGTGGATTTGGATCGTTACTCCGTGGAGCGGCCACGAAAGCTGGGCAGAAGAAGACGAATAACTTCGATGCATGTCGCGATATGAGTGGTAGGAGGTTGAGGCATGTGAACGCGGAGAAGAAGATGGAGGAGTGGTTGGCTGAAGAGAAAGAGAGGAAGCTAGAGAAGGTGGCGGAGGATTTCATTAAGAAGAAAGCGAAGACTGTGAAGAAGGCGGGAGGTGGTGATGGGGCGGAGAAGTACGTGGAGAAGTATAGAAAGGATTCAGCAAAGTGCATGGAGGAGGTTGATAAATCAGTTAGGGCATCACTTGCTGGTGGGTTTCTGAAATCGAAGAGGAAGGTTGTGGGGGAGGACGTGGAAGACATTAGCGGTTCGAAATCGAAGAAACTTAAGATTTGGTAAGTTTCAATGCTTACTAATATTATTAAATCTTAACTACTAGTTAGTTGATTTGTTTTTGGAGGTGATGAAGTCTTATTATAAGCATTTTTTGATAGACACACAAACTTGAAAGACCTATGAAAATGATATGAAAATGAAACTTCATCCATGCCCTTGGCAATCGAATGATAAACATCTGGAGCTCAATGCTATATGTTTATGTGCGTGCTTGTAATTAGGATTTAGGACGAGCATTTCTTTGTGGGCAAAACGTGGGGGTGTATGGTAAGAAAATATTTTTGATGGTATCTCTTAGTTTTTGTTCTTTACATCGGGGTGCTGAGATTAAACAGATCTATGAAAACTCTAACACCTCACTATTTTTTTCTTCATGATAGAGTGTATTTATGTGGAAAGATGTTATGTATTTGCTTGTATCCCGAAGGGAATTGTTTTTGTATGGTAACTTTGGTTGTTGCTATAGATTTTCCAGTGATAGAATAGGGGATATATGTTTGATAGAGAGGCCATGAGATGAAGCTGGAAGTTGCAGATAGGATGCTTAGATTTACTTGGGGCCTGGGGGATATATGTTGTATTGGAGAGGCCATGAGAGGAAGTTGCAGAAACTAGGATGCTTAGATAGACTTAGGGTATATATGTTTTATAGGGAAGTCCATGAGAGGAAGTTGAAGTTTTAGAAATTAGGATGCTTAGATGGACTTGTGGTAGGACCTTGTTAGTCAGGATATCAAACAAGGTATTCCGGGCGGAGCTGGGAGTTGCATCTATCATGGATAAATTAAGAGGGGAAGATTGCATTGTTTTGACACGTGCGCAGGAGACCAAAGGCGGCGCTAGTGAGGAGAGTAGAGAATGTTAAGGTAGAGGGGGTGACAAGGAGAGAAGAGAAGCTTTAGACATTTCCGAGGATATGACATCTGATAGGAGTTCTTCAAGACGCAAGGCTAGGGTAATAAATTTAAGGTAGCGACCTATAGCTAGTGTGGATAGGAAGTAGGGAGTTTGGGGGAGTGAGATAGGACATGGGAGGTTTATGGAGTTGATAGTTGCGGTATAAGAGGCCTGTGTTAGATGGAGGGTTTGTGTGTTTTCTCACTTGGTATATGTTCTCTTTGTGCCTTTTTTCCTTTTTCTTCTTTTTCTGTTTCTTAATATGTGTTAGTCTTGATTATCCTTCTTGTCCTTGTCTTTTCCTTTTCACTCACACTTCTCCACAAGCCAGGGGTTTTCACTGAAACTTCTCATCCCTCCAAGGCCCTGCTTTCGAGCAAGATAATAGTGGGTTTGTTTGGTTTGGTTTGGGCATAAAATTAAATTTTATGAAGACTGGATGTTAAAAGACGTCGTTGTGTAACCCAATAACATGCATCTATATTCATTTTGTAGGATGGGAAAGAGAAAAGTGGATGATAGTGATAGTGATGACATGGATGATGAAGATAGTGATGATGATATGGGTCAGGGGAATGAGAAATCTGTCGTTATAGACAATGAAAACCAATCAGACTCCAATAAGGAAGCAGATGGAAGTTTAGCATCTGTCACCGGTGGGAAAGGTGAAGGAGAATCTTCAGTTGGCTGTTCATCTGAGAGTGCTTCAGAGGAAGAGAAGGAGACTGTTGCCAAAGGACAATTGGAATCCACTAAATCTTCGGATAGTGAACTACCTTATTGTGAAGCAGTTGATGCATCAGTGATACATGAAGAAATCATACTAAAGAATTCAAATGAATCAACTGTTCCCATTGAAATAGAGAAATCCGCCAAACCTGAGTTAGGTGACTTAGAAGAAAGAGAGTCTGAACTTCCAAGAGCTTCAAATGTACAAGAGGATGGAACCACTGATGAAGAAGCTAAAATTTCTGATCCTAAAGTAGTAATTGATGAAGAAAAAGTGTCTACAAAGAATGTTTGTCCCGTCTTGGAGAAGCACCTAAATTTTGATGAGTTCAACACGGCACAAGAGATGGAGGTATGTTCAATCTATCTGCCCCTCTCTTTGCATTTGTCTCTTTCAATTATCCTGATGGTTTCTGCAAAACATTATCCTTCGATCATTTATATTACAGTGAAGTTGACAAAACTATCTTTTCAATAACACATTTAGGACACAACTCTATTTTATAAGGATATTGCTATTAGATATTATCAGTTGTGTCATCATGCATGCAATGTAGGGTGCTTTTGGTACAATGGACATGATGGTACAGGACAGAGCAAAACTTGTTATCCTATGTTGGGTGCAACATTGGACTAGAACATAACAGGACTGAATGTGTCCCACCAAATAGGTGGAACAAATCTGGAAGATGGGACAGGATCAGTAAATTACTAATACCCATGTCAAACGCACTTGTAGCAAATACGTTTTCTTCCTTATTGGTTGTTGTGTCTTTTTATATTTAATGATTCCAATAGAGAAAGGTTATATTAAGACAACTGTATGAGATGTGGAGGCTGTATTTGTCCAGAACAGTGTCTGTCGGATCAAAATATCTCTCTCTAGGTTCTTTGTAGAATTTACTAGTGGTCGGTGGATATTAGTTGTCAAAAAATATTAATTTGTAAGCAAAACTAAAGAAGATCCCTCTATTCACATTTTTTTTTGTTGGCTTCTAGGTTCTAGGCATGGAAAGGCTTAAATCTGAGCTTCAAGAAAGGGAATTAAAATGCGGGGGTACCTTGCAAGAACGTGCAGCCAGGCTTTTTCTTTTGAAAACCACGCCATTGGATAGGCTACCAAAGAAGTTGCTTGCAAAGAAGTGATTCAAGAATGCTTTACTCGGTCATGTATCGTATGTTTGGAAGGTTCCTTTTTCCTGTTTGTTCTGTTTCTGACTTTATGCATTAAAGCTCCTTAGTATGCTTGATATGCGAATTCAGCTCACAAGAAATTATCTCTCTCTATAAAAAATTCTACCTAATGAATCTCGTTTCAGCACATAAAGAATGATATATAATTGGTACATGTGGCATGTGAACTGCGTGCTTATGAGTCATGATTACTAAATACATGATGCTTGTTTTCTTGTTCCATGAGGATCCATGTTTTTGCTCACAAATTTATGTTCTCAAAACCATTTTACAAGTCATGGTGTGTTCATGGACTCATGTATATCCTATCCTCTCCAGATCCTACTTCTTGCGGGAGAACCTTTTCTTCTGTCTGAATCGATATTATTCCATTCCAATTCCTTCCCGATACCTCTCAAGGAAAATCTCGAATTGGATCCTAAATTGACGGGTTACTGTTCACTGGGTTTGTTTGGTTTGGCTTGTTTTTCTTGTTTCTTGATGTATATTTTGAAACGATCGAGTGATCTGATATTGGTTTGGCTGTTCAGCCTGTAGTTTGTCAATGTTCTTTAATCTTTAGGGGATGGTGCTTGCTCAAATTGAGAGTATTGGGTGACTTGTAATTTGCACATATTAGCTAACCACGTCTAAAACCTCTGTTAAGGGGTATATTAAATATCAAAAAAATCAATTAAACTAGCCACCCATATAAAAGAATGATAGTTATGCTATTCCTTTTTGCACTAAGATAGTAAGATGACCTAATACAATACCGAGGGAAGTTTCGTTAGGAACCTCGGAAGCGTCCACAAAGTGCCACATGTCCCTCTTCAGGATGAATTCATCACGAATAACACATTCATGATGAATATGGAAGTGTTATTTGTCATGAATCACACATTCATGATGAATTACAAGCCCATATTCCTGATGAATATGCCACATGTCGCACTGTGGGCGGTTCCCGGGTTCCTAACAGAACCTGACCCCTATAATACTAGTATATATATGTATGTATATCAGTATATCATAGATTGTGATCTGCAAAACCAAGTTATGCAATTGTTATCGAAGTTTTGATCTGCAACATGAGCAGGAAAAGGTGCATTCTTGCACACTGTGCACCAGGCTCGGCGTGGAAGGAATGTCTGCACAGAGGTATGCATCTAATAATCTCCTTAAGATGACGTTCTAATGAGCATGTACCATGTAATGCTTGACTTGACACATAATTTAATTAAATGCTTTGACGAATAATCAAATGCCTAAATTACTTCTTAATAGGAAAAAATTGTGAAAGCTTACCATGATCAATCTTAGCAATATTTCGTATATGACTATTAATGGGTAAGTAGAAATTTTTGCGAAAGACTTGATATAGAAAATAAAATATTGCATTATTTTTGGGACAGTCCAATCTTTAGCATTTTTTTAGATGGAGAGATTAATAAATAAGAGCACATAGTTGGTGATATGTTGTCCTTTTCCCTATATCTGACTTTGAATCAGTCAGTTACTACTTACAACTATTCCTAGCAACCACCATTTACTTGCTTTTTTGAATTTATGCATTCTTTTAATTTACGGATCATTATTGGATTTCATGGAATATTCTAGACTATGCTATCGGACCTTCCTTCAATTGTTTTAACTTTCTCTGATGGTAAACATTGCTTCTAAAATAGGAAATTTCATATTTTTTTGGGAGAGGGATTACATAAGGAAGGCATTTAATTGGTAACTTAGTTGACTTTCAGAAAGTGTTAATATTATGTTTCCAAGGGAAGTCTAAGCACTTAAAATTTTATCGAGTATATTACTACATTGTAGAACGAATAGCTTATTTGTTAAGCCACATTTTCCCATCATTTGCCACGTGACGCAGGTTCATTCTAACTTATGTATCAACTATCTGTCTCTTGGCATGAAGAATCTGCAACCCATGTTGGATAGGGTTTAGAGGCTGCTTACTAACTGACCTTCTACTGGGTAAGAGGTGGTTACCCAGTAAGAACAGATATTGTTTACCAACTCGCTTTTACCCACAAATATGCTGACTGAGTAAGGAAGGGCTTGCTGTCTAACTTAGTCGGTTTTTAGTCATTGCTTACCTAGGTGTTTGGTAAACAACCATATTTAGTTAGTGCTTGCCCAGACCGAACCTCTTACCCAGACTGCACTAACGGAATTTGTGTTGGTAAACGATTGGATTTAACATTGGAATTTGATGTCAAACTGACTGATTTGCTAGATAGGACACGTCATTATTACCTGCAATCTCCAAAAGTACAGAAGAATGGGACTGACATCAAGTACCGAACAAAACAATTATAATCGAAGGGTTATTCAGCTAAATGACCCCCTGGCAATTGCTTTTAAATCTATGCCCTTCTGACAGGTTTTTAGGCGTTCTCGTGTATGGAAATGACATCCTCATAACTGTTCAAAGGGCATGAAGGTCATTTAACCGTTTGACCTGAAAATGGAACATGTTATAAGGTGACATGAGCTGGAGAAGGTGAATTCCTGCAAACCGGGCAAGTCCCTTTCAACTTTAGCCACTCATCGATACATTCTGCATGGAAGCAATGTCTACACTCAGGTATGCATCTGACAGTCTCTTTAACATTATATTCTGATAGGCATATGGCACAGGATGCATCATCGTGCCCTGGGAGGCGCTTGCTTTCCCCTAGAACAACTTTTGTGTACGACTCTATGGTCGATGGGTCCAGACCTATGGTCAAACTACCCCGCCATAAGGTGGCGACAGTCTCTGGCGGCATTGTGGTGGTATCGGGTGTTGTGTTTCTTGCCATCCAGGTGGATACTCTCCTATCCTTCCTGCAGATATAACACGCAATGGCAATAGAGGCTGCTACGGCTGGTAGAGCCATGCCCACCGATACAATTACCATGGCTATCGTAGCTTTATTATTGCCTGAAAATACAAATATAAACAGATGAGATTCAATTGAAACTATGGTTGAACATAGTTATGGTTTTCTTGTTAATTTCTTGATTAGTTCCTAAGGGTGCCCTTGGTATGTTGAAAAGGATAGGACAAAAACTTGTTGTGCCACGTAACACGTTTGACCCGACAATCAGATTGGGACAAGATTAAGCAGGACAAAAATGGAGTTTTTCTGTTCCACCAAAATAGGTGGGACAAATATTAGGGAGATGAGACAAGATTGGTGAATTGCTAAATTACCCATGTCAAATTAAAACCTTCTCCAATTCTTTCACCCCCAACCTCACTCTTGCCCGTTTCGTCTCGTCAGATTCAATACCGAAATGAGGCTATACCACTCAAGAGCAAGGGTTGCCAACTATTTCAAGGTTATAGAGTATTCAAGGGTGCAAGTCTAAACCACCAATCGTGAAATTTGATTGAACAAAACCATTCTATTCAGTCCATTCGGTTTTGGGATAGTGTGTTACGCTCATAATTAAAAAATTATAAACCAACACAAATGAGCTTAGTATATCCCACCTAGACCAGGTGGGGTCTGGAAAGGATAAGATGTATGCAGACTTGATCTCTATCTAAAAGAGTAGAGCACTTTTTCATAGGAGAAGTCCCTAGGTTGAGGTAAGTACCCTATATTTATCAACATACATCGGTTTCATTTGGGTGGTTTAGAAGAAAAGGAACCAAGCAAGGATGGTTTAGTTTCCACTTCCAACCATGACCGAACCACTTACACTCTTATTTAGTGCAAGGAGTATTTTGAACTAGGACTAGTAGGGCAAATTGCATCAAAACGTAACGAATGTTTGCTGTTGTTCCTATTTAGTATAACAAAGATTTTTTTTTTCTTGGTCTATGTAACAAAGTTCAAAAAATTTCTATTATGTACCAATTTTGATCAATAACATAAGATCATTAACATTTGATGACGTGGATGTCAACTTTATCATCCACTTTGTCGTAATCCTTTTGTAAACATTTCGTAAACATGTATCCACGTCATCAAATGTTAGAAGCCCAGCAGGTTACCTGTCATACTAGGTACAAGATAGAAAAATTTGAAACTTTGTTACATTAAATAGTAACTAAATCATAACTTTATGGTATTTTGATGCATTTTGCAGTCGGGATTTTGAGAAAAATGTCTTACCTTTTTCTTTGTCATTGAAACATGCAATTTCTTGCATACTGGTATTAGTGTAACCACAAGTTCCACCATCTGCTGCACAGTCTTGACAATTAGGGTTATCCCATGTCAAAGATATATCCAGATTTAGGTCAGATGCAAGCCCTTCTTGATCTTGATACCTCGATGTCGGATATTGTAATGGACCGATAACCCGACACCCCGTCCGGTTAGCTATAGCCGTAGCAAAACTAACCGACATAGTAGCTAGAGTAGAATACGTAGAATTGCCAAGACAATCAACTGTTGGGAAACGAGCCGTGGTGACCTCAACCGGGCAGCTCAAAAGAGTGTAGTTTCTAGTGGCGGAAACTGAAAATGGTGAACCGGAGAGGTCTAGGTTCAAAAGCCGACTAGCAGAACAGCCTGATGGATCGTAAACTTGGATGACTTGAGATCGATAGTCAATGGTTCGAACCAAAAAGTCTCCGGATTTTGGGATGTTTAGTAGCATTGTTCCTTGTCGGTTGCACCGTAGGTCGAACCCTGGGTAGCCACAAACGGCGGGTTGTTGACCGACCATACGGAAAGGAAACCGAATGATGAATGCTGCTGAGCCACAAAAGGCAAATGGGCAGTTGTATTGTGATGCTGAAAGTGTGGGAAGAAGAAGTAGAATGAAGAAGATGTTGAGATGTTCCATTTGATGTTGGTTTCTAAAGATGGAAATAGAAGTTTAATGTGTACATCATGATGAGAAGAGAGGGTTATACTAAATCAACACATTTGACTTTTGTAAGTCAAAGGCTTTTGAGGATATAAACAGCCAACCTACTACCATTTATTTGTGATTAAAAAAAGAAAAGTCAATAGTTATTCCCTTTATATATCTTTGTTTTGGAGGCTGTGACAGTTGATTTTTTTGTGAAGAAAATAATTAGGTAGTGGGAACTCATGTTTTTTACCACTTGCGGATGTCCAGTATCGTTTAGGGTTCAGTGTTTAGGGTTGATCTTGAGATGCGGTTGGGGATGAGGTGTATGCACCCATGATCTTTAACCTGAAGGGATAGAGTGGAGGTTTTCGCAAGAACTCCCAACTTGTGAAAAGTGTGAGAAAAAGAAAGATTGTCAACAGAGTTGAAGAATTTTGAAAAGGAAAAGAAATTGAAAATGATAAAATTGTGACCAAATGGAAAATGCACATAGTATGGGATGATTGTTCCTTGATGGTGCGTTTGGTATGTTAGATAGGATCTGATAGAACAGAACAAAAACATGTTCATTGTGTAGCGCTACATTAGACTAGAAAATGACAATGAGTCTAGTGAGACAATGATAGGAAAAAACAGGGAGATGAGACAAGTTTGGTAAATTACTAAACTGTCCATGTTAAATTAAAACTCAAAACTTTCGGAATTCTTTCACTTGTCTATCTCACATTCGCTTGTCTAGTCACGTCTCATTTGTACACCAAAGGCAACCAATAAACTCTCAAGGGTAGTGGTGTGGTTCTTCATATTTGTAGCTAACATAAATTAGGGGTTTGAGTTTTGGAGTAGTTACTTGGGTTACTTTCTTCTTATTACACCCCACCTTGACCTCCTTTAGAACCCACCTTCAAGTGGGATATACTGAGTTTGTTCGAAAGGAAAATTGTCTTTCTGTTACATGGATTTTTCTTACGGGGTCGTTAAAAGAACCTTGGTGTTCCTATTTCTAGTTTTCATGACATATATTCAACCCTTCTTCTGTTTGTTTCTTTGGGTTGGTTTACGAGTTCTATTTTTGGTCCATTTGTGATCGATGCTCTTATGGTAACCACGTTTCACAACGAAAATCCAATTTTTTTTAATGCGGAAGTGAATAGAAATGTACGAGAATGGATATATAAATTGATTATACAAAAAGATAGATTAAAAAAAAAAAAAAAGCAGACTTTAGTCGAAATAAAAATGGTTTGGTTGAGTTGGGATAATATTTGGTTATTGTGATTCTTGAATTAGAAGTGTTTTCTTCTTCCTATATTTGATACACTGATCAAATCCCTAGTTGTTCGAATACCTTCGACATGATATGAAACACATATCAGAATTGTCTAGAAGTCACGCCAATTAATACATTTTCTTAGGTGATTTATTTAGGACAAATTGTATGAAAAAAATAACGTACTTTAACTTGATTCCTATTTTAGGTAATGTACTCTCAAAACTTCCATTTTTTTTATTAACCTAGATATCCAACCCGCTATACGAGCTGACTAATCTCAGGGCGTCCACCTGCTTTGCAGATTGTCTGGAGTCACCGCATTTGAATCTCCGTGGCTACAAAAAGATTTTTATTCCTCCTTGGATTTGAATATGGGACCTTCTGGTGCTTTTGACTTTTGGAGCCAAGCTCAAATCAATCAGGCACCACCCATGTAACAGATTGAAGCATTATACCGATTACCATGCTGATGTGACAGTGATGAGATGAAATTGGATTGAATAACAAATAATATCGAGGTGGATACCACATCACTCGTCACATTAGCATGGTAACCGGTTAATGCTTTAACCAGTTTCCTAGGTAATGTTTAAAACTTTACATCTTAGATATCAATATAGAAGTTTTGAAAATATGTTACCTAAAATAAGAATCAAGTTAAAGTATCTTATTTTTCCATGTAATTTGCCTTAATATTTAATTTTTAGGAGATTTGATATATTTTGACGAGTTATAAATTGTCATCTTTCTCAAATACGATTTTTTTTTCCTTTCTAAATAATAAATTAAGGAACCACTTAAAATTTGGTTAGGTATTTTTTTGTAAATGGTTATAATTAAGGTTAATCAGTTAGGACCTAATTTTTTTTAAAGCGTTACGTGGTGCTCACCCATTGGTCAGCAAACAGATTAAAGTAGGATCAATGATAATACGCTATTGCAGTATATAAGTTACAAATTTTGTAGTACAAAATGGTTAAGGACCGTGATCAATTATGCCGTAACCAATACAATGGTGGTTTTTTTAATTAACCCGGATATCTAACCCACTATGCGAGCCGACTAATCTCATGGTGATCAACCGCTTTGCGGATAGTCCGGAGTCATTGCATTTGAACCTCCGTGGTCACTAGGAGATTTTTATTTCTTCTTGAATTCGAACCTGAGACATTCAGACACTTTTGACCTTTGGAGCCTAAGCTTAAACCAACAAAGCGGTCAAACATGCTACCAACTATAACTGATTGAGGGATGAGTCCTAATTAGGTTTTTGTTTGAACAATAATTATTACCAGATGTGTTGTATGCCATAACAATCCTTTCACACCAAATGCATCTGTGATCATTGAAGATTATAAAAAACCCCACTATTTTGTAATGATAAATTTCAGTCATATATATGCCTTTTGTTAGATCTATAATAGAAAATAGAACTCTTATCAAATTAAATCTCAATTAAACCTTCTGATCAAACTAAATATAAAAATAGGTAACCAACTTTGTTATATCGTTGATTGGAACATTAAATCTAATAAAAATCCATATACTGACATTTTCATTCTAAAAACGGTCCATCGTTTCTTACACCGATTTTTATTTGATATTTTTTGTTTGTTTTTCATCATTTTGAATTTGACCACCAACACCTCCAAGCAAAGGTGCGGTAGCCACGGCGGTGCCGGTAAAAAAAGATGCAGCGGAGGTGGTGGTGGAAACCACCGACAAGTCAATTCCAATCGCTAAAAGTTACCTTTTTACCCTTTGTTGGTTAACCTGCTTTATATACGAAATCACAAAACTACAAAATGGATATTGATGTCAAATACATACAAAATTGAATCCACAAAACAGCAAATCCATTTGATTTGAAGAGATGCAAATTTATCAATATAGCTCTTAATTTGGCTTGAAGTTTACACATGTAAATGGAACCTAAAAAGCCAAATCTATTTCCAACCAAAACTTGTTTCTTGAACCAAAAAAAGTTACCAATTTGGTTATGTGTTTTAGATTGCATTTTAGCATATCTAAAAGTATATCCAACAGGTTATGTAAAATAGAGAAAATAAAAGATTTTGTTTTCTAATTTTTTCTGACATGTAATTTATTTTTCTCTAAAATAGATAAAGCAAGAAAAAACTTTAAGTTCATATATTTCTTAAAGCTTCTCGAACAGTTTCTTCATAGTTTCTTCAAAAATAATTGAACTTCTAATTTTAATTATATCATTAACAATATCAAATAATATAGGTAACCAAGAAAAAAGTTTTTTTTTTCCTCTTTTTGTTGGAGATGTTTTTTACAGTTCTAGTTTCACAGTTAGAGATGCACAAAAAAGCCTGATCCCGATCTGAAAAAGCCCAGGCCTGATGAGCTCAAAGCCCGATCACGCCAAAATTTTTGAGGGTAGGCACAGGCCGAGGCTTGGGTAGAAAAAGTCTCACCTAAAAATGTTTGATCAGGTCCTTTCTCAACACCTAAAAACGCCTGATTTGTCAAAGCCTTTTTTTTCTCTCATTGAAATGGGCTTAAAATGCCAAGGCCTGAAAAGACCAGTCCTTGTGTATCTCTCTCTTATGATGGTATAATTGAACCACATTTAGGTGTCAATAAGATTTCCTACTTGAATGTCAAAAGAGCAATAAAATTGTATGGTGCGCTATTCATGAACTACAACTATTTGCATAACAATTTACAAATCCTCAGATCAATCTTTATCTGGAAAGGCCTAAACTACTGTACTAAAAATCCTTGGTCTTTTTTACCAGAAACTAATTTGAGACTTAAATGCTATATATCCAGCGAGTGTCCAAATTCTTCCATTTTTGTTTTTGTTTTTGTCTTTGTTCATGGTGGGGTGTATGTATGCTGATGTTTGTTTATGACTTATGGTACAAACTATATATCGAGGTTCATGAAGAAGGACGATACTGACCTTTAAAGAAGCGCAAGATCGATAAGGAAGAGATTTCTTTGCCATTGTTGGTATTTAGAGCAGTTGTTGGGAGACACGGATCGACACAACTTCATCGGTGTCTCCAGATGTCATTACATGATATTTTATGTGAAGGCCTGTTTCTCGATACAAAATTGGAACTTTTGGGGATTAATACAAGTAAAAGTATGATTGGATAATAATTGGGATTTTTTTAGATATATAACCTTAAATGAGATTTTACTTAAATCTATTACCTTCTCACGAGTATAAAACCATTTTTTTGCCACGTTTTAGATTTAATTAGAAACTCATTTAAGGTCATGTAACAAAACTCAATCTCGGATATTAGCAATTAAACTGAGTGTTTGAATAAATAGTTTTGAAGAATTCGGAGGGTTATTTTACCTTCGTTTTCTTGTAAATTGGTGTTGATAGCAACTGCATGGTAAGTTACCATAGCTTTTGGCTGCCAGTCGTTGGGCTTTCCAACCCATGACTTGAGATTGAACAGCCCTGGGCAAAATTATAATCTCAGTTGCATCTAATATATGATACCAAGAATTCAGTTACTAATCCCACTGTTCTACTTAATTAAATAAATAATTAAAATTTACTAAATATCCAATTCTACCCTTAATTATGATGCATAAATGTTTGAGAGATGATGAAGCAGAGAAATTCATTAGTGGCATGATAATACATTTCTATAACTGTCTTATTAAGGATAAAATTGTCATTCAACTAATTTAAAAGTGTAATAATTATATTTGTAAAGCTGTGTACATTTTTTTTATTGTAGACACTTATTTTGAGAGGGAGGAAGTATTTTTGCTGCAAGATAATCACATCATGGGTTATGATGAATTTTAGCGAAATATCAGTACAAAGAACCCTTCTTCCCCCCCCCCCTTTTAATTTGTGGCTTTCAGTTATGGAAGTGGACAAACTTAGTTGTCTTTTTCGGTGTCATCATAAAAACAATCGCTCTGCCCTTTAAGACAAGGGTCATATATGTGAAGATCTTACCCCTCCCATACCCCACCTCCATGTGGAATATATTGGCATCATTTGGTTTTAGTTTATGCTTTCTATTTGTTTTACTTACATTTTTTGCAAGCTAGGTTCTTCTCATAAACAGTCTCTCTATCTTTTTGAAATAGAGGTAAGGTTTACATATATCCTACCCATACACATCCCCGACCCCATCTTATGGTGGGATATACTGGGTTTGTTTGGTTCTTTGTACCAAGTATTAATTAATTGAAATAGCTGAAAAGGAACACCATTTACCAGCCGTGGATGGAGCCTTGAGATACTTGAAGTCAAAAATGCCACCAGAAGCACTGTCTACATGTTTTCTGATATCATGAGATCCTATTAGCTTGTACTCCCAGCTTCCCTTCTGGTACCCTTCAGTGAGAAACAGCTCCAAGTGTCTGGCATCCAGTACTTGCATTGTTCCTGCAAGAAATACAGCCGATAATTGAGAAAAGAGTTGCAACATAAGAGCTTGAGTTGGTTCTTTTCTTTGCCGATTTTCTAACTTCCATGTTTGTTGCAAGTATTTTCTCACCGTCGCATGTATTCAGGTCACAGACAGGGCACCGAACAAGCTGTAAATCTGGATACAACATTGCGTTTGGGGGGAAAAAGAGGAGAGTTGATCTAAGTAACTGTGAATAATAATCAAGCTTCAAAGAACTGTTGGATGGTTTTGCAAGATATTACCTGCTATCCATATTCCAGTTTTGATGTTGTGCAATACACAAGATCCATAAGAGTTCAACATCTTTTGCACGGTATCTTCCTTTGGAAGCTTTGAAGGGCAGATTAGATTCTCCATGAGGAATGCATCTGATGAGTCGAAGCAAAAGGCACCAATCCTCATCCAATCTGATATCCATAACACGAACAAGAGAATGAATCGTCAATCTTTTGGATATCCATATGCACCCTTCTAGCTTATCCATGATAAGATATTTAGAAACTGAATGGAAATATCCTCACATGGTTTTTACCTACGGATTTTATTGTTCCATAAACCCAACTAAACTAGCCCAATATATGCCACCCACGGGATGGGGTTTGGGGTCAGGTGTACGTAAATCTGACCTCTACCCCAACCCCAGGAAGCAAAGTGGCTTTTTCCGAAGACCCCAGCTTATTGGTTTTCTGTCTACATATTTTATTGTTGTTTAAGGGACCTTGGCTGTTGTTTTATGTTCCTACTGTCAGAGACTGATATTTTTGTCTGCTATAAGATCCCAACACTGTAACAACTTGTGGAAACTAATTTATCATCAAGTTTTTAATCAACTATTGTGTTAACAAGTTTGCAGTATCTTATCATGAGAATCAGTACATGAAATTCTAATGAATTTGAGAGAAATCGTATTGAGAAGTAATCTCTATCGAAATAGAACTTGTGAGGCAACTATTTGTGTTAGAGACCCTGGATATGTAACTGTTCAAGAAAATTCTCGGAAACCATACTGAAGGGATGGATACTTTGTATGTAGCTTAGAGCTTCGTTAAAGAAGCCTTGATGCATTTGACAATGGCAAGCAGATCCAAAACAGAGCTATAGAAATCAACATTTAAATCTGTGATATGCAACAAAATCTTATTATTACGTTTTAAAAGATCAACCGAATTAACCACAAGAGTGGTGCATGATTGGTTTGAGCTTGGCTCCAAAGATTAAAAGTACCAGGAGGTCCCAGGTTCAAATCCAAGTAGAAATAAAAATCCTCTAGTGGCCATGGAGGTTCAAATGCGGTGACTCCGGGCTATTTGCAAAGCAGGTGGTCTCCTGGGATTAGTCGGCTCGCATAGCTAGTTGGATATCCAAGTTAATAAAATAAAAAAAAATTCAACCAAGCCCATATAGTAAAGTTATTTCTAGCGAAACTCCATGACATGCAACAAAGTTATTATTATGTATTATAGGATTAACCAAGTTTTGTATAATACAGTTATTTCAATTGATCAGATGTTACCAATATGCTTCTCCTTCTGCCGAAACGCATAAGAATGGCTTCCACCTGCATAATCAATCATTGATGGTAGTTTTCTTAATATACTAGAAAATTATAAGGTCAATGGTAAGCATATAGTAGGAGGCTGTATACTTACCAAAAGCTGAAGCATAAAGCTTGGCCCATTTAAATGACGTTTCAGAGCAATCAGGAACCTGAAGATCACGTAAACAAGCAAATTTCCAAATACTCTCGTCCATTACAACGTGAAGGAACCATTTGCTGGTTGATGCCAGCATCACCAAAGACTTCCCATCCAAGTATTTGGCAATTTCTGTCCATACATCCTCTTCATGCCTATGTCCGTTGAAATCAAAAGCCACATAACATAGATCAACGTATCCAGACTATTACATATGACGTTCTTCAGTTTATAACTCGAACACACACAAACAGATAGACAGTGATGCATTTACAGCAAATTCGTAAATCGCCAGATGCTAAAACAATAGTTTCTAATGGAACTCATGTCCCAGGCCACAAAACACATACAATTCGTATATAATGAATGCACACGCATCTCTGTCTGTCATTCAACTGAATCAATCTTTTAAGAGATTCATAGATCATAAACTCATAAACATGCAATTAAATCAGAGTACATTGACATAGATTCGTACTCTTTGATTTAATCAATCGAACTTAAATCGAAATTTAAGAAAACGACTAGAAACTTCACTTAATTAGCTAACCAGGACCAATAATTAACAGAAATCGAGCATTCAGGATCACTATAAATCAACAATCAAACACATGAACTTCGATTATACATATACAAACTCTTATATCACGAAACGGACTAAAATTGGGCGAGCATAAGCTAAAAAACACAGAACAGAACAGAATCAGAGATATGAAGTACTGAGATTATACCATGAGAATGACGAAAGAGATGAAGAAGTGAAACGAGGAGATGCACAGCAGCAAATCGATTTGGCTCCACGTAATCGTTTCCCCATGTTGCTGTTGAAGCTGAAATTGAATTTGAAATCAAAATCTTCAAATGAGGTTTTTGAATTGGATATGGCTTTCACTTATATATATAGTAAGGCGGGAAGATTTCACATCAACTGAAACGACGTACACTACTTCTGTATGAATCCGTTAAACAAACCAATATTGATCAACATTGAACAGAAACGAAAGGATCTTTTCACAGAAACAGAATAATTTAACTACAAATTTGCTCAAACTAAAGTTTATGGGTTTAAGTAACACCATTTGACTACTTTTTTACACTTCAAACATGTTTTCAAGTAAAAAAATGTCATAGCAAAAACACAGTTCATAGCATTTTGTTATGAAGTTTCAACTATAAAAATGTGATATCACGGATCTCATGAAAACAGACTGGTCTTATGTGATCCCAAGTCATACGTTAATTTTTTAAAGGGAAAATGAGTTTGGTTTAGCTTATGAAGATATTTTTTTTCTTTTTTTTTTTGTAAGGGTGTCCGGGCCAAAGCCCGACTAATCCCGGCAAATTTGGAGGCTAAACATGGCCCTACTTAAATGTCGCCGACACTACCATCCCAGGGCTCGAACTCGGGTTCATGACTATGCCATGCCCAAGCCTTTACCACTAGACTTTACAGTGAGATTTTAAAATTTTCTATCTTATAACATTTGATTATGTATAAATTTGTTTACGAAAGGTTAAAAAAAGTTTATGATAATAAATATGTATTTACGTCAACGTCATCAAATGTTATAATATTAACAATTTACCGGTCAACATCGATAAAAAAAAAAATTTGAAAAAGTTATATCAGATACAAGGTTTGAAATTTTGTTACATTGGTCGAGAAAAAATATTTTATATTATACCGAATAAAAACTAAGATAAATTTTGTTATATTTGAATACAATTTGTCTTTTTCTTTTGGAAACTAATTTTCAAAACATTCAATTTTCGAAACCTAACGTGTTGTTTGTTTCTAATAGTTACTAAAGTTTGAAGTCTTATTTTATTTTTAATTGATAAGAGGTGGTGTTGAAGTTTAAAAACAGAATAATTAAGAGCATCTCCAATGCAAGGTTTTTATTAGCAAAAAAGTAAAAAATGGCTTGTAAAACCTACCAAGAGAGGTTCTTTTACCTCATGTCTTTTTAAGTGCTTGAACAAGTACTTTGGTTTTTACCATAAAGTTTGTAAGAAGTGGCATTTTTTTTATTAACCTAGATATCTAACCCGTTATGCAAGCCGACTAATCCCAGTGTGACCACCTGCTTTGCAGATAGTCCGGAGTCATAGCATTTGAACCTCCGTGGCCATAAGAGGATTATTATTTCTCCTTGGATTTGAACATGGGACCTCCTGGTACTTTTGACCTTTGGAGGCAAGCTCAAACCAATCAAGCATCACCCATGTGGTTATTAAAAATTATTAATGTTGAAAGAATTAACGAGACCCACAAAAAAGACGTTCTTATAAGAATTACCATTATGGACTTTTAAGATAGTTTTTAGTATGATGAGTTGGAGATAAAAAAAATTCTTATAAAAACCTCAATTAGAGACGCTATAAAATTGTTTGCTTTAAAACTGATAAATGGTTGAATATTAGTAATTGTCTATTTTACCCTTAATAATATAAGTTATATTTTTACTAATAAATGTGTAAGATAATAATTTAAAATATTGTACTTATTTTCAAACAACAGAATTTCGAACATTATACATCTGTTTCAACAATTCTAAACTGTTTTTACAATAAATTGTAAATCATTAAGACGAAAATAACAATGAATTGTAAGTTGTATAGATGAAACTCGTAATTTTATCAGCACAAGAACAAAAATAGATTTTAAATATATAATATTTACTTGAAGGGTGTTCACATAATATAGCGAAATATATCTCAATTTTAATGGTTCGTTTTATTATCCATTTATATCGATATAATACGGTTTTTAATGGTTTTGAGAAAACGATAATATTTTTAACTTTAAATAAAATATAAATTTAAATATATCAAAAAAAATTGGAAAAAGATGTATCAAAATTAGTATCAAATTTTTACTATTTAAATTTCTAGTTTTTTTTTGTGTAATTTCTTTAATTTAGTATTTTATTTATAATTTAATTTAGATTTAATAACGAATAATTTGTTTATCGTTTAATAATATAATATTTATAAAGATAATATTTAAGTATTTTGTTATAAATAATGATTATCCTAGTTATATTTTAGATTTTTTATATTCAAAATGAGATTTTTATCTCGTATTTGATTATGTTTATCTATAGTTAATTACACACATTAAAAAATAAAGCTTTAATAAATTATAACTACGTACAATTTACTTATGATCTTGAATTTTAAATAATATGCATCAATAAACCATACTTTATGCATAGAAATTTATTTTTAAGAGTTTTTGTCAAATGCTTTATAATATAATATAGATACGACAAATGCAACAAATAAACTTATAAACATACCTCGCCTTTGATGAGATTAGAACCCCTGACCTTCTAAGAGAACAAAACCTAACAAACCACATAGACTAAAAGGGTAACTTACTCTAATCAACTGAAATCATTACTACAAATTTCATTTTAATTATTAAACTTACGACCCTTGTAATTGTACTTGAAAGAATTACATATAAACTTTAAAGTAAAAAAGGAAAGCAAGAAAGAAAGATGTTAGATTTACATGCAAAATAACACTTGTAAGTTGTTCTTCTAATGCCTCTAGAGGATCGTTTTCGCTCTCTTCCGATGTATAACCACCGTAATTTAGTTCGTTTGTTCATCTTTCTGAAGCCTCGCGAGGAGGGTGTTGTATAAAAAGGGTCATATTTTGTTGGTATATAAACTAATTCATGAAATTTCGACAATTGGGAGCTCTACATAAGCAAGGGACTTTGAGTTCATCCTGCTCATCTTGATCAAATTTGTAGTCATACCTGTAAACCAAAAATTTCAGAATTAAGAGAGAGAAAGATGATAGGGGTGTACTAGTTGACACGAACCCATGACCATTTGGTCATATAAAGACTTACAGAGTGCGTTTGGTATGCAGACAAGACTAGACTAAACAAAAAAATGAGGTAGTCTAGGTGAAAATTTGTGAAAGATAACAATTAGACATGGGTAGTTTAGTAATTTACCTATCTTATCCATATTTTCTTGATTTTGTTCCACCTAAAATAACTGTATTTTTGTCCCACTCAGTCATGTCCGGTCCCAGACTAGTTGTCGCACCAAACATGGATTGGATAGAAGAAAATTAAGGTATAGAAGAGTCATAAAAGACCTGTAGAGTGTGCGTATAGTATGCAAGCAAAGCTGAAGAGGACAAGAAGGGACTGGTCTGACAAAGGTGAGATAGACGGGTGAAAGAATTGTGAAAGGTTATAATATGAAAGGGGTAGTTTAGTAATTTACCTATCTTGTCCACATCTTCCTGATTTTTGTTCCACCTAAAAGAACTGTATTTTTGTCCTACCTGGCCCGGACTACTTGTCACGTCAAACATGGAACAATTTTTTGTTCAATCCTGTCTCATTCTATCCCATATACCAAACGCACCCAAATAGTGATCTTCGTTACAACGACCTTTTTACCCTTTGGGACAAAGGCAAAATCTGCATACATCCTAACCCCAGATCCTACCTCTGTGTGGTATGTATATATATATATATATATATATATATACCGGGTTAGTTGATTTGTTTTTACCCACGAACGGAGATGAGAGACAAAGAAAAAGAGCTAAGCGAAACCCATGACCTTTTGGTGACATAAGAATACCCTTAACATAAGTAACTTTAAGGGTCCATTCGTTTCGCCCATTTCATTTCTTTCATTTGCTCGGGAAAAATAAAAAAATATGGCCCATAAAAAGCAACGAGAAACAAAATATGGGCTAAACGAATGAACCCTGAGTTGGAGTGATATTGAGGAAGACATACGTTAACTCATCGCCAGCAGAGACATTGGTCTTCGCTATAAGAACTATTCGACTCTCATCTGCACCCATACTCAAAATTCTAGCATAGCAATTCGGAAAGCACTGCAACCAAAAACCACCACTTGGTTACGTTATAAAGCAACACAAAAACATGTAACCACTACATATATTTACAATAACATCATTTTTGTGGGGCTTTGATTTTGAATGGGAAGCATTAGAATAACTATGAATGGGTAAAAAGACCAAAATGCCCCTCGTTTAACGGTCAAAGATTAACAGAGTTAGTCAGAGGGACCCAAAGCGTAACAAAATGCAAACATTACACAGGAAACAGGAATGTAATTTACTCTATTTATTGAGAGTGTGTGTTTCTCTCTTGAAAACAATATGCACTCGGGGTAGCAAACATACCGAATGATTGATCAATCGCGCAATATTTCCTTTATCGGTGGCATCAATTACAATGTCATCACTGACCTTAAAAAGCTGCAAAAAAGTAATAGTTTCAGTCAAAACAAAATCACCTCTATCCCATGAAAATTAGAATTTGCAAGTGTTTATATGTAATAATGACGAAATATATGCATTTGAGCCTAGCCATGCCCGAGCTTTTTAGGTTCACGAAAAAATGGGTCAACTCGGACTCAACTTGTAGTGTGCTAAGATTTATTTTTGGGTTAACATGGGTGTCCGAGCCAGCTTGTGCACACCTCTACTAATCCCATGGGTCCTGAAGATAACAATCAAGAAAATCCCTAGTGGCCTGAAGAGATTCAAACTGGTGACCTATGAAGAGGAGCCGCAAGTCCTAGCCTTTATTTGTTTGATGAGATTTGACAACTAAAAATTTTGGGTTTAAATTTCTAAAAACTCGAGCTTTGGCTTAGATAGGCTTGTATAGGTCCGTTTCCTATGGACTCCCGGAGGGTCATATAAGCTCAAGCCTTCAATCAACTTTTATCATGGGTTAATGTATGTAAAAGTAAATATGAATCCTTAGTAACCATCTCATAGGTTTGATAGGCTTGTCAAGTTGCCAAGCCCAAGCCCGAGCTACGCTTGGACATCAGGCTTGCCAAGATTTAACAAAGGATGGCTCATGAACTCTTTTTTTGCGGTAATCGTGGGTGTCAGGACCAACTTGCACGCACCTCGACTAATTCCATAAGACCATGAAGAAAACAACCAGGTAAATCCCCGGTGACCCTAAGGAGACTCAAACTAGAGCCCCAAGGCCTAGCCTTTATTGGTCAGTAGAGTTGGCCCTCAAGATTTGGTATAATTATTCACGACATTTAAATTAATCTATTGGCAAGAAGGAAAAATCAGAAAGAATTGACTCACATAGCAATCCTTGCCTTCAGACCGATAGTGTACCTCCCTCAAATCTGCAACACTGCGCCTCACTTGCTCACCACGATATTCAAGCACCTGCAGAGGCATATGAAAGCATCCATCAAATAATAGCATATGAAAGCATCCATCAAATAATAACAATTAAAAATTTCATATTCTGTAGGAGGAAATATAATAAAAAACAGTAAATATGACTCGTCGAAATTTCCTCCGTCCTAAAAAGTTTAAATATTTTTAGTTCTTTAATATAATCATAGTGACTAGTAAATACTTGCCAATGCTTTTAAATCTACTTTCATATTAACACTATGCCTAAGTAAAGAACCACAAAGAAGAAAGAAAACGGGATTTCTCTATTTCGGAGTATTTTTCATATGAACTAAGGATCAACACAAGTACCATTTCTCCTTCTTGAATATTCCGCCGTGCAAAAAGGCCCCATCCATGTATTGCGGATTTACCAAAACAAACACGATGCTTCTCTGTCCTCTGGATTAAAACAGATCAATAAGAACACTATAAGAGTCCCAAATCTATATATATGTACACACGCACATATATATAGAGAGAGAGATATAGATATATATAGAGAAAGAGAGGAAAGTTCCGTTCAAGATGAATGCCGATTGGGAACCCGGAAACCACCCACAACACGCCATGTGTCCCCCTTCAGGATGAATATCATCATGAACAACATATTCATGATGAATATGGATGTGTTATTTATTATGAATCACGCATTTATGATAAATCAGCACATCCATAATCCTTATGAACATGTCACATGTCGCGTTGTGGGCGGTTGCCGGGGTCCTATCAATTTTAGAATTTGCCCATTTGTGAATACATATATAGGGTTGGGTTCCGGTGAGAATGGAAGTTATGGCACAAAAGGTAAGAAGGGATCTCCACCCTTGGATAAATCCTAATTGAAGATCAACCCTAATGAGATGCACCGGATCAATTCCCATGAGAAGCGCAATTCTGGGGTGGGGATGAGATTAAAACTGACCTAGGGTCCAGATCCCTTATTATGCTTCTCACCTTAACTCCTATTCTCACACAATACTTCGTCTATATATATACGCAAAGGATCATGTGAGGAGTTAAAGCGAGAAGCGTAAGAAGACATCTGAACCCTTGACCACTTTTAATCTCATGCCTACCCATGAATTGCACTTTAGAAGGGAGTTGATCCGGTACATCACAGTGCACCTCATTAGTGTTGACATTCAATTAGGATTAATCCAAAGGTGAAGGTCTCTTCTTACGCGTCTCACCATAACTTCCCTTCTCACCGTAACCCAACCCTATATATATATATATATATATATATATATAAAAAGGAGTCGCAAAATAATGATTGACTATTTGATCAAGGAGAAGGTATACCTGCAAACAGGCAAGCCTTTCTTTGAATGTGGAGAAATTATTCAAATCTTGAACTACCTGCAGTTAACACACAAGCTTAATCATTAACTAGTCGTCACACGAAATTATCCATAGAGAACGAGTGATTTGACTTTTGTAACCATTGTACTAGGCACTTGGTTTCAAAATCGCAAAAATCCCCAAAACAAGAAAAAACTATAATTACACTGAGTGAACATTTTCGCCAATAATTTTTACGGAAATTCCCATTTTACCAACTACTTGGTAAATATTTTCCAATGACGGTAAGAATATAACCGGGAATTCTCAAAAATCAAGTTTTTTGCAAGTAAAGAGTTATTTTGAAAACAAAATAAAAATCACCACATGTAATTTATCACAAGAACTAGTCCATTTTAAAATCTCGAACAGAATTTGAGGACATTTTTGACATTTCACATTACTTAAATACAATTAAATAATGACTCTTCATCCCATCTTTCAGAATCAAGGGCAATTTAGGAACATCAAATTTATCATAAAGTTAAACTTGTCAAACAGGACTGTTTTGAGAGGAATAAAAACCATAAAGTTGACTTCTTTGAAACAAAAAGAAGTATTTAAAAAGACATGAAGTTTTGAGCATTGAAATTTTACCCTGTGGGAGTTTAAGCAATCTATTGCATCTATGGAATGCCGGATTGGCCTCATTAACCGATGGAACAATGCCTCCTTTACACCATTCTGCAAATAGAAAAATAGCTAATAAGTGAGTGCTACACGAAAATGGTGCAACTGCAAGTACAATCCGAAAATGATGGTATAAGAAAGATAAATTGACCAGATTAGCCATTGTAGACGAACATCTTCACTTTTTAGCCAATGTTTTCATGTTTGAACCAAAATAGCAAGATTTCACAAGTGCCTCTTCCGCAACTTGCAAAATGTATTTTCATGAATAAAATATGATTTTGGTAGGTCATTTCTCAAGCCGTCATGCCAATTTCGGAAGCCGGCCCCACCAGAATCATATTTAATTTAGAAAAAGTACATTTCGCAAGTTGTGAAAGGGGCACCTGCGGAATCTTGGCTATTTTGGTCAAACTGAAAAAAGTTTGGCAAAATAATGAAGACGTTAGTCCAAAATGGCTTGTTTGGTCAATTTCCCTATAAGAAAATTGTGCGTTTACGGTGATCTACCTTGGTACTTGATCTTCTGTAGATGCGACACCTGGCCGCAGAGGGTGATTCGGGTTCATTGTTCTCCGCTATTGATGAATCCGAGTGTTCCATTTTGGCACACAATACGAGCCTTGAACCCCTAAAACTCTGTTTCTGATGCTGCTTTTCAAGCAACCTCTTTGCACAAAAAACCTCGGAAGACGTCCTGATGACAATCCCATTATCTGCTGGAGTTCTGCATCAAAAAATCAAGAAAATTATGTCATGGAATCTTAGCAACACTTCCTGAAATATGGCCCCTATGGATGATCACAAATAGAGTTTGCGGAGAAATATAACGATAAAAAAAAAAGATTGCATAAAACGCCAAAAAATGTCAGTGTCGGAAATATGGCGTTACCTGTGGACAGCACAGTATGGAGTCCATTTTGTGTTATATATCCCATCCTTCTCCGTTGAATGCAACTGAATATGTGCAGGAAGTAAAGGGTGAGACAAACAAGACGTTCAAGTTGGCAGATATGATAAAAAGGGCAAATAAGTCATTTTAACATGAAACTTTCCGAAATAATGTAGTGTCGCAATTTTCATGGGATATCCGGAAAGGAAGCTAATATTTGATACTTTCAAGAAGATTCCTTGAGGAAAGTGAGGAAACACACCTCCACACAGTACCCCGCCCTTGAAGCACACATTGCATGAAAATGAGTGGCGCACTTGCAACATTGTATGCAAGAACCATGAACCTGTTTGCAGATGACGCATGCCTGATATACAACAAAAAAGAGCACAATTAGATTATAAAGTTTGAGGGAAGTTCCGTTAGGAAACCCAAAAATTTATTAGGAACATGGGGAACCACCCACAGCGCCCACGTGTCCCTCTTTAGAATGAATATTCATCATGAATAACACATTCGTGATGAATATCGGAAACTTATTATGATGAATATGTTACAACATTCATGATGAATAACCATCCATATTCCCGATGAATATGCCATGTGTCCCGCTGTGGGCAGCCCTCAGTTCCTAATCAATTTTAGGAACTGACGAGACCTACCCCATAAAGTTTAGTTATATCATCCATCGTCCTATATTGCTTACTTCTAACTCTTTTCTCATAATTTAGCTTATTAGTCCCATGTTTCAAGTCCTTTTTCAAATATTCTTATTTTCTACTTTTGCATTTTTCGCACACTTTTCACAAGCCGGGTTTTTACAGAAACAACTGCTCTACTCTTTGGGTCAGAGGTCAGGTCTGTCTACCCCCCCACCCCCACCCACCTCCCGATGGGAATATCAGGCCCATTTAGTTCGGTTTGGTTTTTTGTCCTACCATTTCACTGATAAAGTTCCTACCTTGACAAAAGAATCAGGTGGAATCCGAAGAAGTCCGGTTGCAGGCTCCATTTTTTCATCACTTACGAAAGCAACCTCGGGCCGAAACCACGCACAGATGACATGAACCCACAAATTGTCGATATCGGTTGGCTTCAAAGCACCACCTGTTATAACATAATACAACATGAAACAAGAACATTCCAAAATAACGATCCCAAAAATCCAAGTCAACGAATGAAAAGTAAACAATATACCTTTAATAGGGCAAAGACAACACTCTCTCTCAACCTCGTGCGTTTCACATGCTCTGCAAACCCAAGATGTGAAATCATGGATATCTCTCACGCCATAGCATTCTTGATGAACGGCTATTTGACATCTGAGCCATGCGACAAGAAGATTCAGATTACTATACTTAAATTAGTTATGTTTGGTGCCATCACAAAGTTTGCCTTAGTTCCTATTCAGTGTAACAAAAGATTCTATGTCTCAATCAATGTACCAGAGTTTCAGATTTTCCTATTTTTACCCATATTGACAGGTAGAGGGAGGTTCAGGAGAAAACTCGCAAAAAAAATGAAAAATTGAGAAACACTCTAGTAACCTTTCATCTAGACGATATGCCTATGTGTATCCAAGTAATTGAAGTTGTTTCTAGGTTTTCATGCACGTGTGCATGTTATGCGCATGTGCATGCCGGAGGAATTGCTTACAAATTACCTGTATGCACATGTGCATATCGTCCAAATGAAGGGTTACCAAGGTGTTCATCAGTTATTTTTTGTGGTTTTCCCCTAAACCCAACCCTTGACGGGTAAATCTTGTACCATATGATGACATGGATGTCAAGTTATCATCTACTTCACCACAACCCTTTAGTAAACCTTCCGTACAACGGTATTCATGTCTCAAATGTTACAAAATAAGTGGGTTATCGATCAAAATGGGTACAAAATAGAGAATTTTGAGACTTTGTTGCATTTTGATGTATAAAGTTATAGACTTTAGGAAAAACCTGTTGCAGATGATAATTTTGTTGACATCATAGTCCTCATCCCATCTACAAATAGCACATCGTTCGGTTGTCCACTTTGCATGAACGGGCTCGTACTTTTCTGTAGTTGTGGAAAAGATAATAGCTTTTTAAAGAGTTGACTTTCAGCTTCCAAACAAGCATCGATATGCAAATAAAAGACAATAACAAAATAAAGAACACGGCAAACATTATGATTACCTTGAAGAAATGAATGCAACTGCTTTTCATCCAAATGTAGGGTTACAGCAGCTGTAACACTATTACCATTATACTCTGAAAGCTGTAACATCAGAAGTATATGAAAACATCAGAGTATAGTAATCAACAAAGAGAGATTCCATCATCATGCCCTTCATGAGAACCCCCAAGAAAACTAATGAATCAAAATGTGATGGTAGTTTCTACTATTTTCTTTTTGAAAACATAAAATAGATATTGTCATGCAGGGTCTAAAAGGAAAACGGCAAAAAAACGAAAAACTAAAAAGCACCCTAGTAATCATTCATCTGTGCAGTATGCACATGTGCATAACATGCACCCGTGCATAGAAACAATGAAATATCTTCAATTACTTTAAACACATGTGCATACCTTAGAAGTAAACGGTTATTAGGGTGTTAATCAGTTCTTCATTCTTTTGGGGGGTTTCCCTTGAACCTCCTCCTTATTATGCATATATAACTAATCGTTAGTTGTTTTGTTAGGATATCAATGACGTTGCCTTCTATTCACTTCGAAGATGGAATATCAAACTTAAAACCAAGAGATGAACCAAATGCATGTTGCGGCAAATTATATGATCAAACGTTAATCAACCAAATGGCTTTTAAGCATTCTTAATGGCAAGTACGGATAAACCAAACCAAACAGACCCATTATATCCCACACAAAAGTAGGGGCAGGGTGGATGTATGCAGATCTTGCCTCTACCCAAGGGATATTCAAGTGGTTTTTGTGAAGACCCGTGACTAGCAAAACAATTTTAACAAAGACGAGAGTGTTATTATACGAACCATTTTCTCCAGTGTGACCATTGAACCTTTCACTTTAATGCTGACCTTCCACTTCTTCGCTCGGGAACCAGTATGGCGCTCCCATTCACCGAGAGTTTGCTTTCTTGTTCCACATGAACCACATTTGCATTCGACACTAAGAGAAAACGAAATAAAGATAAGTTTATATTAATTCAAAGTATACGTAGCGTATAACGAAAACCAAGCATCAGAGTAAATTGAACATGTGGGTCTTATCAGAAAGAATTTGGTCTTACAGATGAAGTTTTGGATAATAAACCCCTTCCATTCCAGTACAAATGACGCTTATATTGTCAGGCAACACACTCCGGTCGCTACTCTCTGTAGACCTGATGAACATATATGACCTCATCAAATATAAAATAATGAGAAAGCGAATACCCTTATGAACAAATTGATACCTGAGTTTTGGTTCCTTATTATCTACAACAGGTTGCTCAACAGTAGATTCACCTTTGCATTCTGGGCAGTAATAATCGATCTTCTCCAGGTCCTTTGAGTGAATATAATTATGTCAGATAAAGATACGATTATACGAACAAAAAGATCATTATAAAAATCAAATAAAAAACCTTAAAAATTTTGCTAGACACTTTGGCGCATTCCGCATGTACCCAAACATTACAGCCATCACAGCATATCTAGACAAAACAAGATAACCAAACAAAACGAAAAGTTAGAAACTTCGTATTATTAGTAAACAATGAAGGCAATCATCGGAATATGCTAATAATCTCACCCAATCTCCACCATCAGAATGATGCCAAATCTTCTGGCAAATGCCACAGTATTGTTTTGATTTCCGTAACTGCAATTGCAGCAAGCACGTATGCAATTAAGTACAGTATGAAGGCAAAAGAAGAAGAAAGCTGGTATGAGGTGTGTTATATAGTGTTATAAACCTTTGAACAATGTTCACACAAAGCCTGCTGTTGAGAGGTTATTCCTTTGGATTTCTTCGTTGTTTTAAATGGAAAAAACAAACCGCAACTGACACACGGTTGAGATTCCTTCTTATTAGAGGCACTCTGCAAAAGAATATATATCGATCAATTCACGAATCTCTAAATCCACGAAAATAACATAAATAACTTCACAAACATACCCAATAATGATATGAACAAGAGCTACAGAATTCATATAAATGACTCAAGAATTATCGAAGAAAAATGCAAGCAACAACTTGCCTGCTTACGGCGACAACTCTCCTGATGCTGATCCGGAAGAGTTGCAATTGGGTTATTAACAAGATCGGGTGTAGCAGAACATTCCTCCTTGTCTGCATAGCGTGAATTCAAATAGCCATTCTCTGCTAAGAATGCCTCTTCTATTGCTTTACGAAAATCATCCGGCTTGCAGCCATATAATTGAGTCTGTCCCCGGAAGCTGAACAAAAAATTAAATTGATTAAAAAACCTTCTATTGGTTCCTCAAAGACATTGCTCATAGGCACAATTCAATAAGCATTGAAATACCAAAGAGTTATCAGCCCTCGGGTTACCAATCATAATTGTGTTAAGAGTATTTGACATATATAATAATACACACACACATAGGGTCAGGTTCAAAGGAAAACCGCAAAAAGTTGAAGAACACCCTATTAACTATTCATCTAAACGGTGTGCACATATACATACAAGTAGTTTGTAAGTAATTTTTACATACACACGTGCAGAAAAACCAGAAAACATCTTCAGTTACTTGTATGCATGTACATATTGTACATATAAACAATTATTAGGGTGTTCCTCATTTTTTTATTTTTTAGGTTTTTCCTAAACCTTGCTCTCTCTTTATATGTATACTTTAAAAAATAGTACATACCTTTCCAGATACTCTAAAAAAGGAAACATCATCCCATCCTTCACCCACGCATAATCCTAAACATCAAAACAACACAAATTATCCCATAGATTACGACATTTTCACAGTTGTTTTTCCCGTATATAAAAAAAACTAAAAATTTTCGTAACCATCTTCACAAATATTTCAATAAATCAAGAAAAGAAACAGTACCCTTTGACCTCTCTTCGAATACCCATAAAACATCACACAAAGAGTGTCAGGAACACAAGCTCTCAATACAGAATTAGGAGCTTCGTGTAGTGGGTCGATCACAATAGCAGGCCAAGCTGGAAACCGATTCGAGCATTTTGCCCAAACAATATCACCAGTAAGAAAATCTTGAAGTCCATAAAAACCCTTCTTTTTTTCATTCTTCATCTTCTCTACAACCTTCTGTTTCTTGGATAACAGTTCCCTTTCAGGATACGGACGTCCGCGTTTCTTCAAACTTCTGTTATCATCACTACACAAACCATTATCGTCTTCTTTCTTCCATAAACCCACAACTGAATCAGTATAACGCGATGGGCGAACTGCGACACGACCTCGCGAAGATTTCAGTTGTGGAATAGAACCCAATTTTGACTTCAAAGCACCAGGTATGTAAGGAACTCCAGTTCGCCAAGAATTAACAACATTGTCGTAATCCAGAAACCGAGTTTTTTCGTTATTAGAACCTGAAACAAATTCGATATCATAATCATCTTCAGTTTCCTCGCTATCGACCTCCTCTAGTTTGCAGCGTTTAACGTTCGGCATTTTGGATCTCACCGTCTGTTTTATCATCGTCGTAAGTTAGAAACAAAGCATGTTCCCCGTAAACCTCTTTTTCATGCTCAGAAGAAAACCCTAACTTCACACCAACCTCGAGATTACTATGAAACAAAAGGCGTCTGAACAGATTCAGATGGAACGAACGGAAAATTCCCAGACCATTCAAGATCGATTGAATAAAAGAGTTCCCCGATGATCAATCAGATAAACCCAATTCATACAAACCCTATAATCCCCGAATCAAACCGTTCAAATTGGGGATTATTACTGAATTTATTCGCCAAGAATCCCGCAACTCGATTCAACAAAAATTGCTAGCCCAGAACAAGAGAAACCCTAAATATATGAAATCGAAGAGCGAAAACACCAGAAAAAAGATTGAAAACAACGATTCCAAATCAACCCAATTCAATTTTGGATTCTGCAACAGGAATTCAGAATGAAAACCTCTAAATATATCTAGGAAAAGAACAGCATTCCACCGACAAATCGGGAAAATCAAGAATTTGGAGCTAATTCAGAAGAGAAACAAAGAAACAGAGAATCGTGTGTAGGATTTGCTTATGTGTTTGTGTGTGTCGAGGAGGCGGGGGGGGAGAGAAGAGTTGTGAGCAGTTGAAGGGAAATCAACCGATCTGCTTTTGTCAGCCGTGAATTTGAAGAAAATAACGTAATCTTTTATTTTCTTTTTATTATTTTAGTATAATTAAAATACGATGTATTTGTTCCAAAATAAATATAATAATGTTATATGCACCTCTTTTTATATTGAATCGGGTTAAATCATGTACTGAAAATATAAAAAAAAAATTGTATCCATTTTTCATGATATTATACATAAATCATGGCGAATTCTTCAGAAGTATGAAAAGAACCCCCATTGGGAAGTGAAATAGAACATTTAACCGTAATCTCCCAAGCAGTGGGAGGAGCCCAGTTCAGACAGGGACGGACCTACTTTGGTGGTTATAGTAGCACGTGACACCTTATTATTCCTCCGTCCAAGAGTAAAAAAAAAATTAGGTTCGTGAGATGTGCAACCGTATTAATCTGTTGTGTGTCATCGTATGTATTTTGAAACGACAATGAGAACATGTTTTATTTGGTAGAGTTAGTTTGCAAGACTTTATTCCACCCCAGACTCAAGTTCGAATCGTGTTAGTGTTGTTTTCTTAGTCAAATAGTGTCATCGTTTGAAAAAATTTCTCTATAGATTTTTCTTATAATCAAATGGTGTCACCGTTTGAAAAAAATTTGGGTACGTCCCTAGGTTCAGATGTAGGATACCTATCTAGAAGTTTTCGCAACCGTCAAATCCCATGGCTCAACTTTGGACAGGCAGTGAAAAGTAGAAAGGTTAACCTATTCGGGAATCTCTGAATCTATGCTTGATGTGTGTAAGGATGAAATTGGCTAATAGAAGTGTATTTATCAATATATATATATATATATATATATAGGGTTGGGTTTTTCGTGAGACCCATAAGACCAATTTATGTTCATTGATCAAATTTATGAATTAATGATCTAATGGTTGCAAAGTTGCAAGGTGGCAATTTCGTAATTAGTGAGAAGTCTCATGGCGTTTATAAATGTTCAGATCTGACGATTGTAAATCTAATCCAAGGGTTGAGAATTGGTCTTACGGGTCTCACGAAAAACCATTGGTCTCACATGATCCCAAGTCTATATATATATATATATATATATATATATGAGTATATTTAACCAGGGTTAGGTTCATGTGAGACAAGATTGTTTTTGTAATACACGATTTTTACACTTGAAACTTTATAACAAAATGTTGTGAAGGTAAAAAAATCAAATCTTCACAACAAAAACACTATGAAATTTCAAGGATAAAAATCGTATCTCACGCAAACAGTTTTGTCTCACATGATCCCAAATCTATTTAACCAACACCAACAAATATCAACGTTAAAAACAAATAACTTACAAAAACATCATTAAGTATGCAACATTACTTATCTTAATCTTTTTAATGGTTTCTTTTTTCTAAAATACAAAATTTATTTTAACACATAATTAATTATGTTTGTGTATAAAATAGCACTTAATACAAAAATAGAAAATCAACATTCCAAATTAAATACTCTCAATGTTTCAAATTAAATGTCTATATGTTTATTTTAGTTTGTCTTAAAATAAGTATCAATTTTCTAAATGAAATTCATCGTTTTCATATGATAGTGTAAGAGATTTCCAACAACTTTGCTGAACAATATATTTTATAGATTTTGGAATTTTTTTTCCATTCAAAAAGTTGTGTTAAAATAAAGAAAATATAAATCTTCAATTTTTGGTTCCTTTAAAAAAAAACCCTTCAAATTTTGGAGATATCTTTATTAATATTAAGGATATATATATATATATATATGCTGAGAAAAAAAGATTTCATCATTGGATGCATATTAGGATGAGATGTACTTGATCAATTTCTGCACTAAGCACGATTCATTGATGGGTTTGAGATGAAATGTGATCAAAGGGTCTAGATCCGTTCTTATACTTCTTGTTTTAATTATTCTTCTTACACGATCCTTCACTTTTACATATATATTATTTTAACTATTTTCACTAATAAGGTTGAATGTATTGTAATTTTTTAAGAGAAAAGTCCAAAAAAACACGATCAAAACTTTTCTATTTTGAATGGTTTAGTTTCTAACAAAATTTGAATAGAAAAACTATTAAACTTTCTCATTTTAAAGAATTAAGACTCTAAATTTATTTTTTAGTAAATAAACCATTGAACTTTGTTAGTTGGTTATATGTAACTTTTTCTAAGTTAAAAGAATGTAGATAGCAAATTTAAAGGTGTGATGACTTATTTATTAAAACATGTTCAGGGACTTAATCATTAAAAATGAAAAATTTTAATGGTTTTTTCATTAAAAAAATTTAAGACTAGCAATTCAAAATGGAAAAGTTGATTGGATTTTTTGATTTTTTTTTTTAAAGTGTATTGAGACGATTAATTTATCCAAGAGGTTCAAGATCGAATCTTACAAGAGATGATCTTGAACCCCTTTGTTAGTCTCAGCCGCTAAGTCAACATTAAATGTCTCCTCACATGTCTTTTTTAGCAGACAAATGATCATGTGGGACGGTTAGAATCGTCAGTAATCAATTTTTTTTACTCAAATATTTTAATAATATAATTAACATTGAAATTACTAAAATAAAATAGTTTTTGGAGCTGGACGTTGTTTTCGATATTTGAATTTTTGAAAGAAGGTTAAAAAAATAAACACGAAAACAGTTAAATTACATGTGATTTTTTTAATAATAATCAACGCAATGGTGCGCGGGCAACTTGACCCGCAATCACAAGTTGCAAGGTCACGAGCAAATTAAGTCAAATGAATTATATCTAACTTTACATGTGATCTTAGTGTAAAATCACATATGATTCGATCATTTTTTTTATTCTGGTATAAATTTGACTTTTAATTTTCGATACTCTATTTTAAAAAAAACTACAGTATAATAAATATTTAATATTATATTAAAAAATAATATTCAAATCTTATTATATAATAAATGCATACATCATGATGCCACACAACGCACCAAAGGCTCGAGGATTTGAAGTTAGGCAAAATTTTGGGAGGGAACAAAGACCCTATTTGGATACGTAACGCGCCAAATCCAAAAACCATGGTTGCACGGAAACTTATGTGCATCTTGCTGTCGCTTTACAAACGTTTTTTAATACTATTTTTCTAAATCTTAAAAACACATAACGGTAAAGAAAATTATTTAATATTGAATTTAAAAACATAATTAATTAGGTTTTGTTTGTTTTTTTTTAATAAAAAAACTCTTATTAGTTTCATATGTCTGATTGTAAGGTGATTTAAACTGTTTTTGTTTTTTTTTATTTACGCTTAATTTTGGTGTATCGACTATATTTCGATTTATCCTTTTTTTAAGGATTTCATAATTGGACATTGAACACATTTCATATGATGGGAGTTATCGGTGTATTGGGTGTTGTTTTGCTATACGTTATTCATGGTGCAACCGTAAAAAAATACTTTATTTGAAGATGGTGATGGCGCAAATAATTACGTGCTTTTAACCCAACTCAAGTTGAATAAACTTATTCAATGGTCATTGCTAATCGCTTTTGGTCCCAAATATTTGGGGTTGCTTTTTTCAATAAACGTTGGTTACATTTCTTTATGTTATTTGTATCGGTAACTGGTTTATGGGCCTTAATGACCATAGATTGTTGTCCTAGATCTGACAGTAGAACAAGGTTAAATAATTGAAAATGAGAGATTTTAGAAGACGATTGATAGAAATTGACCGTTTTCTTTATTGAATGGTAAATACAAACTCTCTCAAAACCTTAATCGACTCTCATATGATGCTTGTGTGTTTATGTGAATTTTGATCAGTGAATTGTTACCTCTATTGTATGTCTATATCACCTCTTATATATGTGATATTTACAAGGAAAACGAATCCTATAAATATGGAAATAATCGTTATCGTAAAAAAGTTCTTATTAGCTTCTTATGTCTGATTCATTAAGAGGTAAGACGATTCAAACTGTTTGTTTTTTTCTATTTTTTCATGAGGCATTTACGTCTTATTGTCCTCTTATTTGGTAAGAGGTAAACCAACCTCTTATTTGTTTTATTGTTCTTCAAACTCCTAATAACGGTATTTCTCAATCGATTAACTTTAATCGATCATTTATCTCAATCAACCCTTACCCAATCAATCTCCACGTCTCTCAATTGATGTATTTTAATAGGATTTAAATGTGTTAAATACGTTAATGATATATTTTCGTTTAAATGGATGCTATTTATATAATTTGGATGTAAATTTCGTAATGATGATGAATAAATATGTGAAATTGCATATATAAATTCAACAATATGGTTTTTTAATGGATAAAATATATAGTTTAAACAAATTCAGACGTTTATCAGTTTACAAAAACAAACAGTCTTATTCATTCAAATTTCAGATGTCAACACCACCTCTTATAAATCATAAGTAAAATAATACTTTATACTTTAACACCTCTTAAAAAAACAAACGTCATCTTATAGTTATTAATTTGTTAGTGATAGAACATGTAAATAACAAATAAGTAAATTCAAATTTGTGTTTTTTAAGACAAATCAAACTGACATGGTACTACTGTTATCAGTTGAATAGATTAGTAGAGAGGTGAAATGTATGCAGATCTTATATTTACTTTAAAATAACGGAGTAGTTGTTTTCATGAAAACTTTCACTCCGTGCAAGAATGTAAGCAAACAATTGAAAGTGATAAATATTAACATGAGAAACATGAAACATGAAAAAAAGTATTAATAATGACAGTAAGGTACAATCTTAACATATGAAAATGCAAGAAAAACGAAACCCACACACGATAAATAAGGCGGCGACAGGGATGGTGATTTGCCCTGACTCGGTGGGGAACCTGGCTCACTTGACTCGAACGAGGACGGAGATTCCCAACTCAAACGGGTCCTGGGACGGGGTCCGGGTAGCGTATCCCCGACTTGCCTCGTACCCGGTATATAA